TTGTGAGAGTGACTGAGGACGGGGAGGGGGTAATGCAGTGAGTTCGGAGGCAACATTTATGCGTGCGTTAGACTTTTAACACTGAATTAACTTTTTGTGCTAAACGTCAGAAACAAGTCCGAACTTGCGCGGCGGTGCTCTTCAAAAATGTTGTCCGCGGCATCCGCCCACCGAAAGCCATCTGCTGTTATGACCCGGCACAGGTAACGTACGTCATCGAAGCCGTTGCGGTAACGACCACTCATTATTCGCCCTCCCCTCATTCATCGGTAACGACGGCGGTACACGCTCGGATAACAAAGGCTACTGACCACCGGTTCGACCCTGCAGCATAGGCGTCCGCCCAAGGAGGTGCGATTATGCGAACGTCTCCTCGTCCATCTGGTGTGATTTCGGCTTGCTGCTGACCAGCGACAAATCGTTCGTCGCTGAAGAGGGTGTAATTTTTTGTTTGCCTGTGTCGCCGTTGTCGGCTGTCCTTTGATGTGGACGTCCACCCGTGGCGACCCAACGGTCATTCGCCGCCAGATGTCCAGACGGCAGGTGTGCGCCGGGACGACGTTGTGACGCGTCGCGCGAAGAAAGCCGCCGTGTACCCCGCCCGCCCTCCGTCCGGCAGACTCTTTAGTATTCCTGACGATGAACGATCGGAGCCCGTGCCAGATTGCCGCACTGCCGACTAGCCAATCACGCCGCTGCTCGCCCTGTTGTAAAGAAGTCATGTCGGTTTTAAAGTGACCGTGGCGCTGGCCGGCCGGGCGAGTTTTGTGAATCGTGCCGAAGTTTTAAATGCGAACCGCAGGTCGCGTTGGCCGCCGTCGTTTTACCGGCCTAAAAAATGGCTGTTGAAAAAAACGTACATCGTTTTTTGACCTTTTTTTTGCAAGGCGCAATGCGATTAGCCGATTGTAAACGACGAATTCGGCGAATCGTTGTTGCTGGCTAACGACGGTTTTATGGTCGTCACCGGCCGCCTGCCGCGGCCATCACAGCGTTCGTTGTCGTGGAACATTCTTTCTTGAAGAGCCGCTGCCAGTAAACACGATAAATCTGCTGTCGACACCTCACAAACCGAGGTTCG